AAAGGGACCCCTGACCATTAGGTCCAGTCGTGGCTGACTCTGGGATTGCAGCGCTCATCTCGCTTTACTGGCTGAGGGAGCCGGCGTACAGCTTCCGGGTCATGTGGCCAGCATGACTAAGCCGCTTCTGGCGAACCAGAGCAGCGCACGGAAACGCCGTTTACCTCCCCACCAGAGCGGTACCTATTTATCTACTTGCACTTTGACGTGCTTTCGAACTGCTAGGTTGGCAGGAGCAGGGACCGAGCAATGGGAGCTCACCCCGTCGCAGGCATTCGAACCGCCGATCTTCTGATCGGCAAGTCCTAGGCTCTGTGGTTTAACCCACAGTAACTTGTCTTGAGGAGCACTCTAAACACGATGGATTCCAGAGATGCTGGCAAGCTCAGCTGGCGATGCAACCAAATGCCAAACCTCTGAGACGTTCGGGTGTTCCCTCTCCAGCTCAGAAATGCCTGTGGCTTTCCACATGTCGCACTCCACTTCTCATCAGCCACAGACAGCACAGCCAAAGATCAGGGATGATGGGAGCTGCAGCCCAGCAACATCTTGAGGGTTGCCAGTTCTTAGTCCTTGGTCTAAAGCAGTGCTTCCCAACCTTGGGTCTCCAGCTGTTGTTGGACTACAACTCCCATCATCCCTAGCTAGAAGGACCAATGGTCAGGGATGGTGGGAGCTGTAGTCCAAAAACAGCTGGAGACTCAAGTTTGGGAAACACTGATCTAAAGTAACCTAGCTGCACCAACATCCAGAGTATAAAATCTCATCTTCAAGAGGTGTCTGATCAACTTCATCCAATTTAGGATTCTGCTTTTTTATGGGTAAATTTGGTATTTTTTTCAAATCACATTTAGAGTGTTCTCTGTGTGAATGCTTCCTCCAACTATTAGGTATAGCTACCCAATTTGGCTTCTATTTGACTTTTTGTTTTTAAGATAGCACAACTTTAATCTCTGCATCTGTTTACATAAGGACTGGCTTAGCTTCTCTTTGTTCCTTTTCTGAGCCTAGCAAAGAAACATGTGCATGTCACCTATAGGTGGAGGCAGAACGCTTAGAAGGACCATGGCTGTGCACTGGATCTGGCTACAGCCCAGATCCCAAAATGAATCAGTCCAATTTGGGCTGATAGGGCTTTAGCCAGATTGGGTTGAGATGTCCCCAGATCAGGTTGACGCACCTGGAGTGACCAAGGGCTGTCAAAAGGCAGGGTGGCTGGACAGCAGGAGAGGCAAGCAGTCTTTGCAGCACATTCCCCACAGCGAATTCTCTGGCAAAGCAACACTCAGCAAGACCAAATGCTGCAGCCAATAGTTGGTGAGCAGAAGATTCAGTCCAAAGGCTAAACCCTAATTCGACACTGAGGCAGGGCCCGGTTCAGGGTCAGCTCAGGCCAGCTCCAGCTTTGCCCAGGTTGTATTGGGGCTGATTCAAAGTGCTGGGTTGGGCCTTGAATCGGATTGGATTTTGGGGGGGGGGTGCACAGCCCTAGAAGAGCATCTGCTTTGCATGAAAAAGGTCTCGGATCCGGCCTCCAATATCTCCAGGTCGGGGTGCGAGAGACCCTTGGTCTGAAACTCTGGAGAGCTGCTGCCAGTCAGTGTAGACAATACTGAGTTAATTGAACCAATAATCTGAATCAATGTTAAGGTAGCTTCCTATATTCCTGTGCTGGTTGTATTTGAAGAGATGGGGATACAGCCATTATGTGCTGCTGCTTCCCAGGAGGCTGTGGTGCAACTTCAACCCGAAAAAAGCACCTCTTTTGAATGTCTGCTGCCTCCTCCCATATTCCATCCACATGGATGGCTTGGCAAACACCAACAGCCTTTTCTCTCTCTCCTCCAGGCCACCTACCACCACCAACACCGCCAGCATTTTTAACATCTAGCCTGATGAAGAGTTCTGTGGAACTCAGAAGCCGGCACACTATGTTACGAAACTTTGCCATTGCCCTGATAATCAGAGCAGACAGTACCAGGCAAGATGGACTGGCTTTCCATTCTTGCATAACAAGGCAGCAGCTGCTGCTCCAATGACATTCGCTGTCGCTTTTCCCAAGGCAGGCAACCTCCCGCATATCTGAGATGTAAAGGCAAGAAAAAAAGAGGCACTGCCCACTTGTTTTGGAAGAATAAAGAGAAGGGAGGCTATTTTTGGCCTGGACTCTAGAACAAAGGGCCTCCTTTCCTTTGCTGCACTCAGTTGCCAACAGAGACCAAATGTCTCCAACGAGCAATAGATGAAAACCAATGCAAATATACCCTTGTAGGTTGCAGACAAGCTATAAAATAAGCAGCATCACGTGGGTGCAGCAACTACCAGATCATTCTCTTTCAAACAGGAGGTGGCAGGTCATATTTGAATGTTACTCCCATGAAAAAGAAAAAAGAAAAAACACCAAGCTCTCTGCACAAAGAAAACTAGAAAGTCAAGGAGAAAGGTTAAACCCCAAGTTGCTCCTTGAGATGCTCATTTTCTACTTGCAGGGAGCTTTGTGGCTCAGGGGTTTTGGGTTGCATTGAATGTAGCACCAAGTTAAAGTCATTGTTAGCACAACTGTCGCACTGGGTTCTTTTGCAGCCCAACCTTTAAACTCTGCCATCCATTAGCACAAGGACTCTTGTTATAGCAGACAAAGAATGTTGGGTGCAGGCAATTTTTTTAATGTGGAAAAGAATCTACATATGTGATTCTCCCTGATTGGAGGTTTTTAAACAGAAGTTAGATGGCCACCTGCCAGGGAGTCTTTAGTTGTGATTCCAGCATTGCATGATCTCCTCATCATTTATCTCACCTCCAACTGCTAAGCACTAGGAGGAGGAAAACATGATCAAGAGCCCTCCAAGAGAAAACCCATAGCCAGCCCCAAGGGACAAGGCCAGAGGAGAAACCCACCAGAATGTTGAATGGGGCGACACCTGCCTGGGTGCTGGGAGGGTAGCCAAACACTTCCACCTTAGGGTTCTTCATGGTGCAGGAGATGGAGCGGTTCATGAGGCGATGACGCGCAGCTCTGGGACGCTGAGTTTGCCCTTCAGCATGGAGTCCTGGATGACAGGAAGCTGGGGGACCTGGAGACACAGAGAGATCGGCCCTTACAATCGGAGGAGCAGTGGCAACTGGCACCCATTGGGGCGGGTAGGATAGAAAGTAGGGAGCCCAACAGGAGGGGGTGCCAGAGCCAATGATAGGCTCAGCCAACTCATTCTGGGTGTACAAGGACAGCCCTGACACGAAGGAGGAAGAAGCCGACAGACAATGCCACCCCCCTGGGTTGCTTGTGAGAAGACAGGTGGAGGCTGGCTGGGGGCAGATTGAGGCTGGTGGGGCAGAGCCCCATTTGCCCTTTGCTGACAAGGAGGGGTCTCCCATCTGGACTTTGGAAAGGAGGGTTGCACAACTTTTCAAGACCTTCTCTGGGCTAATGTTTGGGCTGGGCTTTCCATGTATGTACACCCCAAACTGGAGAGCTTGCTTGCTCTCTTCATCCCTCAGAGAGAATCACAAAGAACCGTATTTTTCACCCTATAGGACGCACTTTTTCCCCTCCAAAAATGAAGGGGAATGTGTGGCGTCCTATGGAGGCGAATGCAGGCTTTCGCTGAAGCCTGGAGAGCGAGAGGGGTCGGTGCGCGCCGCCCCCGCTCGCTCTCCAGGCTTCATGGACTCTCTCCGCAAGCAGCGGGAGCGCTCCCGCTTCTTGCGGAGAGTTGCCGGCGTGCCGAAGCCTGCGCGCGCTGAGATCAGCGCGTCCAGGCTTCGCGGGACCTCTCCGCAAACAGCGGGAGCACTCCCGCTTCTTGCGGAGAGTTGCCGGCGTGCCGAAGCCTGCGGGCGCTGCGATCAGCCCGTCCAGGCTTCGCGGACCTCTCCGCAAGCAGCGGGAGCACTCCCGCTTCTTGCGGAGAGTTGCCGGCATGCCGAAGCCTGCGCGCGCTGAGATCAGCGCTTCCAGGCTTCGCGGACCTCTCTGCAAACAGCGGGAGCGCTCCCGCTTCTTGCGGAGAGTTGCCGGCGTGCCAAAGCCTGCGCGCGCTGAGATCAGCGCGTCCAGGCTTCGCGGACCTCTCTGCAAACAGCGGGAGCGCCCCCCTTCTTGCGGAGAGTTGCCGGCGTGCCAAAGCCTGCGCGCGCTGAGATCAGCGCGTCCAGGCTTCGCGGACCTCTCTGCAAACAGCGGGAGCACTCCCGCTTCTTGCGGAGAGTTGCCAGCATGCCGAAGCCTGCGCGCGCTGAGATCAGCGCGTCCAGGCTTCGCGGACCTCTCTGCAAACAGCGGTAGCGCTCCCGCTTCTTGCGGAGAGTTGCCGGCGTGCCAAAGCCTGCGCGCGCTGAGATCAGCGCGTCCAGGCTTCGAGGACCTCTCCGCAAGCCACGGGAGCCAGCGCTGGGCTCCCATGGCTTGCAGAGAGCTGCCTGTTTGGGGGCTGGGGTCGGGGGAAGCTCGGGCCTCCCCCGCCCCAGCCCCGTGCCTGGGGGGTAAATAATTTTTTTCCCTTTATTTCCCCCCCAAAAAACTAGGTGCGCCTTATGGGACGGTGCGTCCTATAGGGCGAAAAATACGATAAAGGAATTATGAGGAAGAAAAGAGAACTGCTCCACCAGGCTCGTCCTTCAGTTGTCATCTGCAGCAGCCATTCCACCAGCCTGTGGGACAGGAAGAAAGATGGGGCTTGCAGGGTATCTCCACTGCAAGAACAGACAACTTTTGGCTCATATTTTTAAAAAAGATCCATTCGTGCTGCTCACTATGAAAGCTCTGCCACTAAGAATTAGTGCCTGAGCTTGCTTTCCTCCTCCTTCCTCATACCTTTCCCTTTTGTGTCATGTCTCTTAAGATCCGTGAGCCTGAGGGAAGAGACTGTTTTCTCTCTGATATCTGTAAGCTGCTATGGGAGCCCTTTTCAGCTGAAGTGCAGCATAAAAATGATTACAAATAAATAAGTAACAAGGAAGACCCCAAGCCACTCTTGGGAGGAGACGGCGGAAAAGTGGAGTCATACTCTGGGGATGGGTGAGAAGATGCTGAGACCGGCACGGAATTTCTTGATGGTGCCACTGGCCTTGAACCAGCTGTGCCGCTTCTCCTGCTGAGTCTTGAGGAAGTCGTTGCTGAGGTGTTTCCATTGCTGGGATGTGAACATTCCCAGGATCCTATTGGGAAGAGAAACAGTGACTGACAGAATCACTATCATGAACCCAGAAACTGGTAGTGACCACAACACCAAGTCAGTGGCTAAATAGGTCAGAGTCTGAAAAGCTGGATCAGGTCCCTAGCTCTGAGACTGAAGCTAGTGATCAGAGGCCCAGTGAACTCGATCCTACAATTTTGGGGCCTCCGGAGCCAGAGCTGGGACTCTTATGAGTGCCTTCTCCTGAACTAGAGAGGTGGACTGGAGACAGAGCCTCAAAAGGCCTCCTTTAATCTCCAACCCTTGTTGGAGTACGTTGCTCACTGGGAGCTCTCCATGGTGCTGAAACAGCTGGCCTCATTCACAGCTTCCCATCAATGGGACAGGTAGAAAGGAGTCCAAGAAAAGGTCTTGGAAGTGTTTTATCCCCATCACTGAACCCCAAAGCACACAATACAATACTGTACTGCTTTTAAAGTAAAGTGCAGATAGGGTTGAAGAGAGGTGTGTTTGTGTCTAGAACCCTCTGAATTACGTAAGACTTACTGTATGTATGTATGAATATACATACAGTATAACCTAGTGTAGAAGGGTAGAGAGTCACCCCCATTGTTCCAATCACTTTCCCTTCTTACCCCACCAACCATTGAAATGTGGCCTCTTGGACTAGACAACCCTTGCTCTAGAGCAACACCTTGTGCTTCATGACTCAGCTTAATAAGGCCTTACTCACTTCTTCAGCTGTAGGCCCAGTCCAAACCCTTCCTTATTGGATGGCTGGAAAACTTCAATGGACGGTTCTGAAGAACAAGAAGAGTTAAGAGTCAAGGGAAGAAGGTAACGTCTAGCCAGGGAAAGAGACTTCTGAAAGACTGGACCAGCTTCAGTGATAGGCGCCATAGTAAGGCATCACAATAAATGAGCTACAGGGGTGGTGCATCACATTTCACCACTTGAGATGAAATGGGAAGTGCTGTCCAACCCTGCTGTCACAAAACTGCCACTGCTGAAGCACCCCTTACCTAGGTTGCGCAGCGGCAGGTTCCAATGAGATTTCGGCAAGATCTCATGTGATTTTGATAAGACCTCATGAGATCTCACCAGAAATCAATGTCTTTAATAATAAAAAAAAAGTTTTTCAAATTTTGAAATTTACAAACAATTGTCAAACAACCAAAATAAAAAGATAATTCCATAAATTCCCCTGGACTTCCCTCCTCCACTTTGTGGGGCCATGTGTTAACGTTTTTCCTCCTGCATCTTCTCCGTTAATCCAAATCTATTACATCTCCATTACAACCATAGTTCAACCTTAACTACAAGTATCATTCCAATCCTACTAATACTTTAAATTGTTTGCAGTGAGTTTTAAGGTAAATTATATATTTTCCTTATAAAAATTTTTGGTCTTCCTAGTTTCTGATTCTTCCGGTCATTTTTGCCATTTTGGCATAATCCATCAATTTAATCTGCCATTCTTCTCTGGTAGGGACTATGTCTGCTTTCCATCTCTGGGCTGGTAACATCCAAGCAGCAGTGTTCGCATACGTAAATAGTCTTTTCTGATCCGTTGGTATTTCGGCACCCAGAATTCAATGTCAATGCTGCTTCACCCCATATTATGGGTGGGCCGGCCCTGGTGAACTTTTTTTTTTTTAAGATAATCTTTATTGATTTTATGATTACATACTATACATATACACATTACTTTACATTTACTCCTAAGAGTTGACTTCCCTCCTTCCTTCTTCTGGCTTTTCTATGTTGTCTCTAAGTTTTTCGCAATGTCTTTATCGATTTTGTATACTGTTGTTCTTCTTTCAACTTTATCCATACAGTGTCTATATGCAAATAAATCTTTCTGTATATACACGTCTTGTTGTTTGTCTATATTCATATACAGATACAATTAGTTACCTTGATTGTATTTTACATTTTAATTCATATTGTCATTAACATCCAATAAAATTTCTTTTAATTTCCCATTATGAGGTGAGGTTTATTTCCATTCTACCGATTTCACTATTTCACCTTACCCTATGTATAACATAAATTTTTCCCATTCTTTTTGAAATGTTTCATCACCCTGTTGTCGAATTTTCCCCGTTAATTTGGCTATTTCCGCATATTCCATGACCTTGTACTGCCACTCTTCTACTGTTGGCAATTTTTGTTGTTTCCACACCTGAGCCAGCAGTAACCTCGCCGCTGTTGTTGGGTATAGGAACAATTTCTGATCCTTCTTATCAATGGTGAACTTTATTAGTCTAGCAGTACAAACTTGTATCCTTCCACCTCCCTTCAAAAGCAAGTACTTCTTTGTACAGTGCATAGTTAACACTATGGAATTTGCTCCTACAAGAGCTAATGACAGCCACTAACTTGGATGACTCTAAAAGGAGATTAAACACTTTCATGGAGGATAAAGCTACCAGTGGCTACTGGCCACAATGGCTAGTACTGCTGGAGAAAGGATGTCTCTGAATACTAGTTGCCAGCAATCACTAGTGGGGATGGAGCATTGTGCTCAGGTTTTGCTTGTGGGCATCCCATGGGCCTCTGGTTGGCCATTGTGAAAACAGGACGTTGGACTAGGTGAACCTTTAGACTGACCTGGCAGGGCTATTCTTATGTTCTTCCTTGTTTACAGGCAAATGTGATACTCACCGGGGCCATCCAGGTACTGGGAAAGAGAGAACCGCAGTCGGAGGACAATGGGCTCGGTCCGAAGGACCTTCCAGGCTGTTGCCACCTCTTCCTGCAATGAGAAGCCGTGCATCCTCATTAGTCAGGGCTGTGACTATGGAAGAGGGGAAGGACCAAGGGCTCAAAGTGGAAGTCAGAAAAATACAAGTCTACCCAGGAAGCAAGACTGCAGTGGATCATGGCATTGGATCAGGAGACATTTTCCTCCCTTTCTCATAATCCTAGTATTCATGGTTCTCCAGTGAAGCTTATTTGCTGGAGATTTGGAACACTTGATCTATGGCAGGCATCCACAAACTTGGTCCTCCAGATTTTTTGGGAATACAATTCTCATCATCCCTGACCACTGGTCCTGTTAGCTAGGGATAATGGGAGTTGTAGTCCAAAAACATCTGGAGGGCCGAGTTTGGGGGTGCCTGATCTATGGAATTCACTGTGACAGGCATGCACTGGCGGATGAAGGTGGGGGTGGGGGGCGGTCTGCCCCTGGTGCCCTCTGGGTGGGTGAAATTGCAGCCGCCCACATCCCCACCACTGGGACGCTTGGTACTCACTGCACACACCCCGGGACGCACGCCGCTCGACGCACACCCCTTGACACGCGCCACACACCCCGCGGGCAGCACACCATGCCCCTGGGATGTGCACCATGCCCCCTGGGATGCGTGCCAGCCATGCCCCTGGATGTACGCCACTCCCGGTGCCAGAGCAGGTAGCTACACCACTGCAGGGATGGCTGCTGTTTTAGATCACTTTAATTGGGAATTAGACAAGGGAATAAGGCTATCAATAGTTGCCAGTCTCATGCATTACAGAGGTACCTCGGGTTAAGTACTTAATTCATTCCGGAGGTCCGTTCTTAACCTGAAACTGTTCTTAACCTGAAGCACCACTTTAGCGAATGGGGCCTCCCACTGCTGCCGTGCCATCGGAGCACAATTTCTGTTCTCATCCTGAAGCAAAGTTCTTAACCCAAGGTACTACTTCTGGGTTAGCAGAGTCTGTAACCTGAAGCGTCTGTAACCTGAAGTGTATGTAACCCGAGGTACCACTGTATATGGGTCCTGGATGCCAAGGAGAAACTATAAGGACCATTGCTTTTAAGCCTTTCTTTGTGGGCTTCCCAGAGGTATGTGTTCTGATGTCTCTGCTCTGCCTCCATAGCTGCAGGCAGCCATGCTTCTGAATACTAGTTGCTTGAAACTCCGGGAGGAGAAGCTGCTCTTGTGTTTGAACCCTGCTTTCTTTGTGGGTTTCCCACAGGCACCTGGTTGGCCACTGTGAGAACAGGACGCTGGACTAGATGGGCTACTGGCTTGATCCAGAAGGACTATTCTCTCCTCCCCCCCCCAAAAAAAATTATATGCTACTTGATTGTAAAACTAAAACAGAAACAAAACCTCAATGTGATTTACAAAGAGGATAAAACAATAAAATCATCAGTGAAAGCAACTCTTTAAAACACTTTTTAAAAAAGAACAGAATCAGCAATAAACTAAAAACAGATTAAAACATACATCAACAGTCTAGGTGTCAATGGATCGACTCCAAGTCTGAACTCTAGCTGTCCAACCCATTGCACCATAAAAAATGCAAAGGCCAAGTGTGAGAATTTCCTGTTGCTAATCCAGGAGGAATCAACCTTCCTGACAGTGTCAGAGTTGGGGGAATCTTTCAAGCTTCTGGGTCTGCCGATATCTGGAAAGTGGGGAGTGCATTTAAGCATGTCTGTAGCCTCTTTCTGCCCACCACCACCCATGTGACTGTGTCCCAAAACTTACATCTAGAAAGCCGATGTTTATATGCAGGTCAATATCCACATCGTCAATGGTCCCATATTCGCTGAGGAGGAAAGCAGGAGAATTAGGGAAAGACCAGTGTGAGGAAAAGCAGGAGGGAGAAGAGCGAAAGGCTGGGGCACATGGAGCTAGCTGATGGCAAGGAAAGTAACAGGGAGAAGCTGCCCCTCTGTTGATCTGCAGAGCTTTCTGCCCCCCTGCCCTTCTTAATCCAAACCTGGAGTTAAATTTGTGCCAGCTACTATATGTGCCAGGGACACGGGTGGCGCTGTGGGTTAAACCAGTTCAGTTCAGTTCATCGCATTTTCACATTGCTCTGCAATCTTCCTTTTTAAGGGTTTGTAACAGAGCCCAGGACTTGCTGATCAGAAGGTCGGCAGTTCAAATCCCCACGAAGGGATGAGCTCCCGTTGCTTGGTCCCTGCTCCTGCCTACCTAGCAGTTCGAAAGCATGTCAAAGTGCAAGTAGATAAATAGGTACTGCTCCAGTGGGAAGGTAAACGGCGTTTCCGTGCGCTGCTCTGGTTTGCCAGAAGCGGCTTAGTCATGCTGGCCACATGACCCAGAAGCTGTACACCGGCTCCCTCGGCCAGTAAAGCAAGATGAGCGCCACAACCCCAGAGTCGGTCACGACTGGAAATAATGGACAGGGGTCCCTTTACCTTTTTTACTCTAGGTGTCAATGCGAGCACTGTTGTTTTTTGCACTTACATTCCACCATGTGGCTCTGTGGGACCTTTGCCACGGCTCGGGCTGTTTTCCTGAGTATTAAAAACCATCTCAGTGTTACCCAGACTCCCAATCCCTGAACAGTAAGGATCTTGGGGATGTTTGGTTCCCTTTGAATGAAGTCTGCTGGAGTCAGGCAGCTATTGCGGTATTTGCATTTGTCTACAAAGATACAGGTTGAGCATAGATGGAGGTTTCAGCTTAAACCGGGTAGTCTAACACAGGATAAGGTACCTTCCTGTGTTCCTCTTGGTTAAACCAGTTTGGTAGATTCTTTACAATAAAGAATCATAGGGCCAGAAAGAATCTAGAAGGGACCTCCAGCCCAAACCCAAGTCTACATCTCCAGAACTGGAATTGAGTTTTAAAAAACCTCTTTGCTCATCAAGATCCATCCATGGACTCGGATCCTAAGGTCCATAGTTGTGCAGAAGGACCTTGCGCCTTTCATAGTTGCACAGAGGAGGGAATTTCGGCAGGTGCCACGTGGCATCCAAGCCACGCCTGCTGTGCTCCTGCTACACATCTGTCACCTGGCAGCAGTCATTACATCTGGTTGCAATACAGGAAGGGAGAGGGACAGGACTACTCCATCGGTGAGAGACCAACAACTTTTGTGCCTCCTGTCCTTGATCTGCTTCACCCCAGAGTGTGCTTATGTCCTCTTCTCTCTCATTTTCCTTTTGCATCATGTCTTTTTAGACTGTGTGCCTGGGGTAACGCACTGCCTTTTTAAGTTCCTTTTTAAGTGCCACTCCAGGAGTGTTTTTGGCTGAGGATTGACATAAAAATTCTTTAAAAGAAAAAACAAACAAACACTGAACTATTAAGGGTGAAGGGTTTTCTTTTGCATCTGCCCACTCAGCATCCTTGCTTCTAGGGATATTTCTTCCCACCATTACTGTCCAGCCTAAAGTGCCGACCTGTATGCACAAGACCTACACAGTCCCTCTATTGTCATTGGACTCCACTCTCAGTCGCTAGGAGTATGTGCACTGCCCTGCTTGGCTTCAATGCACCAGCTGAAAATCATCTCTAGTTTATCTCCCTGGGCACAGGTTTGCTAACGATGCTATTGCTAATGAGTGCTTCTGCTTCAGAAAACTGGAGAAGCGGTAACTTGCCCCCAAGCCATGATCAGCTCACAAACACACACATGTGTCACAATCATGCCAAAAGATATCTAGTGAGCGTGGATAGCGTACTTAAATTCTTCTAAGATGGATTTGTCATTCTCAAAACAAAATAAATCTCTTCTTCCTGTTATTGGTAGCAATGAACGTTAGATATTTTTTTCCATGGGGTTAAAAGGTACCTAAGTATATGGTTGCAAAAATGGGGGGAAATAGAGGACAGAATCAGATATTGGCAAGCTCTTTTTCATTTTCATTTGTGTGTGGATTTTTAATATAAACGTGGGGACATATAATGCATTAATGCTATCAAAAACCATTTCAGGGAACATATTTCAGCAGTTCAACTTTATAAAAATTATAAATATGCCAGTCAAACTTTTCTGGACAATGCCAGCATTTGGATTTTTTTAAAAAGTAGGTAAATTTCTTATTGATGGCAACTATATGGTGTCTGTAACATTTTTATCATACAGTAGATTCCATCCATTCACTACACTTTTCTAACTAAGTTGTCCTACATGCTTTTAATGTTGTCTGTCTTCTGTGCTGTTCCTGTAAGTTTGCTATTAAAATACATGAAATAAAACACACACACACACACACACACACACACACACACTGTAAAGGGGTCTTTGAAAGAACAGAGTAAAGCCCTTAAATAAGATTGCATTGCTCTTTCATTGTTAACTATAAGTCCATGGAGAAGGCAGCGCTTCTTTCCTATCAGAGTACTCGGAAATAATTCCATTGAAGAGCAAGTATGGTATCCTATCCTGTTAGGCAAAGGTTAGTTTTCTGTGCAATTCAACAAAGGCAGTGGTTAGCTGCAGCCGGCATGGCAGAAGAGGCTGCCATTTGGTGAAGAAATGCCTATCTGCATATATGCTTCCCTCCCACTTTCCTGCCACCCCTTGTCCCTGTCCTCAGAAATGCCTGAGTCTTGAGAACTATGTCCCATTCTAGAAGGCCTTGAATACTTGGTGGAAAGACAGGAACAATGGACAGAGTACTGGATACAGCCCTATGAATGCATTTTCCCACCCTAAGGAACTGAGAACTGATGATCTCCAAGGGGCTCAGGTCACCTCTCCAGCTTCTAGTAATATTTCCAGTGTCTTATTTTTATTGCATCCACTTAAAGATTTGAACACAGGTGTCAGGCGGCAGAGGAACCAACCCCCACGGCAGGTTGCCAGGAATGGATAAGACAAGGGAAAGTCCTTACCATCTGCTTTTTGTTCACTATTCACAGAGAGAGGTTTGGGAATAATAATAATAATTTTTATTTATACCCCGCCCTCCCCAGCCAAGACCGGGCTCAGGGTGGCTAACACCCGATATAAAAACAATTGGTTGAAATACAACTGAAAAATAAGATTATAATACAACATTAAAACATCATTAAAATGCAGCCTCATTTCGGTGGAAACTCAAATCAAAAACTTTTTTGGGGATGAAAAGTCTTCACCAAGGCTAACTATCCAGACTCGTCCTACATGGGCCAGAAAAAAGCCAGGGAAGTCCCCAAATAGGAGTTCCATCACAGAAGAAGAAAGGAAAAAGGAAGAGGGGGAGGAAATCAAATTGATTCCAAGCCAAAGGCCAGGCAGAACAACTCTGTCTTACAGGCCCTGTGGAAAGAAATCAGATCCTGCAGGACCCTGGTCTCATGAGACAGAGCAGCATCTTGGATGGAATGGTGTTGTCCCGAGTGAATCTCCACCCCCCGTCTCTTCCACTTCCTCATTCGTCAACAGGAACCCTTCTACGGTTGCCGCTTAGGGCTATCTGTCTCCAAGCCCTTTGCTCTCCTACTTTCAAGGCTCACTGGGTTCTGGGAGATGGAGGGTCTGGAATACTTTCTAGTGATAACGTGTCAGCCAGCTGCTCTGACTCTGCCACCTCCTCCTCTCCCATTATTTCCCAACTTTTCTCCTCATCTTCCTCTGAGCTATGACCTCCCACAAACCCCTGTTGTAATTCTGAACTGTCTTCTTCTCCTCTGAAAGGGTCAGGCTGGGGAGGTGGTCTCCACCATTCCTCCTCTGCCTAGTCCCTGACATCAGGTCCCTGATGAGACCCTCATAGCAAGATAGGTCCAGCTTTGGGGTCCTGTGTTAGTGCCAACCTGGACCATAGAACTCACCGGACAGACACAGAATTCTCACTGTACAGTTCCTTCACGGCCTCGATGTCAGCATCCAACTGCGGGTGACGGTACAGGTCCGCCGCACAGGTCCCCTGCAGAAAGCCAGCACAGGGGGTATATATTCAGAGACAGCAAATGAGTGAAGCATGAAATCCTCTGATAAACCAAGCCTGATGAGGAATGGTCGAGGGAGTTGGGGTAGGTTTAGCCTGGAGAAGAGAAGACCTTGAGAGGTAATACGCTCGCCATCTCCAAATATCTGAAGGGCTGCCGCATGGAAGGTAGAAGAGCTTTCTGCTTCTCCAGGACCCAAACCATTGGATTCGAATTGCAAGAAATGAGTTTCTGACTAAAAGTTAGTGCCTCGGAAGGTGGCAGACCCTTGGAAGTTTTTATGCAGAGGTTGGGTGGCCATTGGTCAGGGGTTCCTGCATTGCAGGGGGTTGGACTACATGGTGCTCTGGAAACTTGACAGTTCTATGATTCTATGAGCAAAATTGAGGGTCTCGGTCAGATATCATATGTGGCTGCCTGCAGGATTGTGGGCTTTGGCAAGTGCCCAGCAGTATGGACCCATGAGAGGAGGCCTGTACATCCTTGTTGCTTGCTCTGAAGCTCCACAGGAAATTGTACAGAATCCTGCAGCCGTTCACTGATACCCACACTGATACCCCTCCACAAGCCCCGGGAACCTCACCTGTACTCCATACAAGAACTCCTCCGACTCATTTTCTCCATCAGAATCATCATCAGTCCAGTACTGACCTTTGATGTCCTAAAGTCAAGAAAAGTGCCAGATGAGGAAGAGTGAGGACTCTGCAAATATAATGTTTTCACAATGGCACATTTTGAATCACAACATCTGATGCTTCACCGAATATGCCAGGATTCTCTTAAGCTTTCTTTTTCAATAATAATAATAATAATAATAATAATAATAATAATAATAATAAGATGCCGTTCCTCGAACATGAAGATGAAGCCATGTTAAATGATCCTGAGGACGTGTCTTTATGAATGGAGTGGCATTTATTTCCTTCTGTTTGCTTTCAAAACTCTGTGTTCCTCTCCTCTCTCATGTTGCTTCTGTTGAACTTTACACTGTAAGCTCCTTAAGGCAGGGACCTGTCTCCTTCTGATTATTGTTCAAAGTGCCGGCAGCATGTTAATGGCATATAAGATATGATCATCATTCCTCCTATTTCCAGCGTTCGGGTGGTGAGTGGCAGTTCTTACGTGGCCAAAATGGCATTGCGCACCCCCAAGAGGGAGGCAGCAGCAGGTTAGATGGAACCCAAAGGTTGCGGAAATGCAAAACACCTTTAGGGGAGGAAAACTCTAAGGGCGGATCTCGAAAATATCCCAGGATGCTCAGGGGCTGTGAAATGTTGACTGACTGCTGTGGTGGCAAATGGAAAGCCAGGAATTCACACAGGTGTTATAAGAATTTTAAGGTCTTATATATATATATATATATATATATATATATATATATATATATATATTAGATGTTCATAAATGTGCCAAGCAAACACATACAAATATGTAAACCACATGACTGGAACCCACAGAAAAGTCCTGAAACCATTTTCTCTCTCCCAAAATGACCTCAAATATTTCTCTGCAAGGTTGAAGGAAATGGGAAATCTCCCCATTGTCTCTTTCACAAATCCTGTCTCAAGGACACATTTAAGATATGAATAGGGTGTGAGCCTGTGACCTGTGAACCTGGATTCAGGAGTTGAGTAATTATCATAACAAAAGAGTGGCCAGGATGCCCAGGTAATCCAATCAAGTAACCTAGCAGAGAGGAGAAAAAAACAACGCACTCAGATTTCTGTTGTAGTCCGCCCCTTCTGTGATGTATGTATGATGTATCTGGGGGTGGTCTTGGACTCCAGGGTGGGCAATTTAAAATGTCTATATAAGGGCTTGCACACCTTTGTCCTGGGTCCCCGCCCCCACCTGTGGGGGGGGGGGAGCACCCTGTTGCAACAGCTTTAATAAAGATCAGGCTTACTAGCTGCTTTGCTTCTCAATATTCTCTGGTTGGTCTCTTGTTATTTTCTCCTACCGATAGAGAACCTACGAAAGGACTCTATAGGGGCTCTTGTGTTCCCCATAAGGAAAAAGAAGCAGGGTTTTTTTCTCATAACACAGACACACAGGCACCTCCCTCAGCTTTCATTTGGCCATTTCATGCAGGATTTAACTCGAACACCTCATTTTAATGCTACCAATTCTCCCACCCCAAACAACACCCCACAATGCACTGCCTACAATTCATCATCACATGCAGATGAACACAGCAATGTGGGAGGAAATCACACACACACACCCCGAAGTGATCCTTAGAACAACCACCCCCTTGCATCCAATGAAAAAGGAAATGCATACATAATGCATAAATAGATGCACACGGGTCACACCCACCCCTACATTTAAAGCAGTCTTCTACCACTTTTACAAATGTAAAAGTATTCTCAAAATGTACAAAATGCTGTTGGAGTGGGGAACTAAAGAGGAATTTGTGAAATCGAGCATGATTAAGTGGGCACAAGATGTGGGTCACAATATGGATTATGAATTACGGGAAAAGTTGTGGAAAATAAATATGAATTTTACGGCATGTTGTGCGATAAAAGAAAACAGGATGAAACTGGCCCACAGATGGTATTTGACACCCACCAGATTGGCGACTATGTCTAAAAAAGAAAAAGGTATATGTTGGAAGTTGAATGAAACTGAGGGATCTTTTACTCACATGTGGTGGTCCTGTAAAATAATTAAGGAATATTGGGAAATGATATATGATGAATTTTAAAAGATACTTTTAAAAACCTTCCCCAGAACACCTGAGATTTTCCTCTTGGGGATGGTAGCAATGGAGGTCCAAAAAAAACAAAAGAGTTTATTACTATACGCTATTGCTGCGGCTAGAACCTTATTGGCACAAAGGTGGAGAACAAGTCTTCCAACTCTACAGTTCTATGATTCTATGATTCTAAGTCTAGTACCCACACAGGAACAATGGCAGTAAAATGTTTGAATATGCTGATCTGGCTGATCTGACGAACAGGATAAGATAAAACAAAGATAAGGAATACAGTGGAACCTCGGTTTTCAAACGTAATCCGTTCCGGAAGTCCATTCGACTTCCGAAACGTTTGAAAACTGAGGATCAAAGGGCTGTCAGCAAGTTCAATGGGGAAAATTGAGAAACGTGCTTTGGAAGCCATCCTGCTTCTGAGGCTCATTCGAAAACGGAAGCATTCACTTCTGGGTTTTCGGTTTTGGCATTCGGCTTCCGTAATGTTCGGCAGCCGAGACGTTCCAAAACTGAGGTTCCACTATATAAGGAAGAATGGACAATGCTTATTGAATATTTTAAGAACTGGTATAGACAAATACATAGGTTAACACAGTGCTTTTTTCTAGGGGAACGCAGGGGTATGCAATACCCCTAAACGTTTTGTGAATCTAAGTTTGGCCTCATTGAGGGGCAGTATTTCAATATGAGTAGGAAAATGAGAGAAACCCTAAAGATTTTTTTTTAGGGGAAAAAGGACTGGGTTAGGAGGTCTTGAGTAAATCCAACAGAGTTGAAATAGATAGAGTATTTAATAGATGACAAATTGGATGATTAAAAAGATGTGGATTACATGGAGTAGAAAAGCAAAGGAACCAGGAGAAGGGTGGAAGGGAAGTCATATAGTATAATAATAATAATAATAATAATAATAATAATAATAATAAATTAATATCCCGCCCTCCCCAGCCGAACCCAGGCTCAGAGCGGCTAACAACAATAAAAGTAACACAGCACTGTAAAATCAATTCATTTTAAAATCAATTCAAAATAATAAAATACATGCTGTATTTGGTAGAAAGTTGTAAATGGGACAGGGGGAGGGGAGGGGGGTTAAATATGCTCTCTGTTCCTGTTTTCAAAAATGCAAATATATATCTAAATATTTTAAAAATAAAGCAGTCTTCTATCACTTTAACAGTTACAGCTTCCCCCAAAGAATCCTGGAAACTGTAGTTTGTTAGCGGTGCTAAGAGTTGTTAGGAGACCTCTCAGAGAGCTACAGTTCCCAGCATCCTTAACAAACTACAGCTCCCAGAATTCTTTGGAGAAAGCCATGACTGCTGAAGTGGTATAAGGATTCTTTGACTGCATGGTGTGGATTGGCCATACAAACACCTAGGATGGAGGGATCGGGTTACACTGCCGCATTCATTGCAAGTCCCACCCATTCACTCCATTTCCAATGTTCAGGCATGACTGCAGTTGCTTATGCACTCAGAAAGTCAGCACTACCTGACAAGAGGGAACCCTAAGGCTTGCAGATAAACGTAGACACACAACCACACATACAAACATGTGCTTAAGGGGTTTTTAAAACTCATTAAGAGGTTTGCAAATGGTTTGAAATAAAAATAAAAGAAACAAATAAGCATTAAAATAAGGTGGTGGCTGTCTAGATTAATAAAGCTAAAGCAAAACCATGATGTGATCCCTTTTTGGAGAAAAAGGTGGGATACAATGAATAAAATATTGCACTTGGTCCACCTATTCTGCATTTCATTTTTCCACTTAATAACTGACCTTTGTTTCCAAGGATGTACACACACTACACAATTATAAAGCACATTTCTTCCCCCCAAAGAATCCTGAGAACCATGGTTTACAACCCCCAGAACCCTGAACAAACTTCCGTTCCCAGGATCCTCTGGGGGAAGCCATGTGCTTTCAATGTACGGCGTGTATGAAGCCCACTGTCAAACCTCCAACCCATCTCTTATTTTTGCAATTTAACCAGGCAACCTTCACTCCTTGCTCTTCTCCTCCAACACACACAGAACATCCCTTCCCAAGCGAAGTCAGCTTTGCCATCCATGGTCCAGCAGTCGCTCGACCCCCACACACCACTGCAAACCCGTCCTGCGAGTCTCATCCTGCTTACCATTTGCTTTGTGGTTCACAGGCACTCCTTCCACAGGGCTAGGCCTCTCCTCTCCATGCCACCAGCCAGCCTGGGAGCTGCGAGACAGACATCCAGGCGGTGTTATGGCCTCCAGCAGGGAGAGTCAGCCTGGGGAGTATGTTCTTCCGTCGCCCTGGCAGCCAAGTCACTGTCCTCGAGAAAGGCTGAGAGCGATGGGGCTGACGTCAGTGCCGTGCAGAGGCCTCCTCATTGGCCGTTGGAGAACTGAAAAGGGAAATCCAAGACAGTTTGGGTGTTTACATTGAAACCTATAGTAAATACAGAGTACGAGGCAGGGGGAACCTATGAGGTCTCCTACTTCCAGGATTTAGCATCCTTCCCTGGCTGCCCACCTGCATACAGCCCAAACAGCTCCTGCTGCAATAAAAATCAGCATGCACATGCATGCATGCATGCACACACACACACCTTGATCTCAAGTGCACAACCATTTTTGCAGCGTTAACAACGAGGCTTTGATGCCTAGCCCTTTTCAGGTGTGTGGACTTGTGCTCTGCACTGTCCTCTGCCGGTTATCCTTAACATTTTCAGAACCAAGGTGGAAATGTCTAAGGGGTGTGCCATTGAAGGCTTTCACATATGCATAGCTCTATGCAAGGGCCAGCCCTTCCATTAGGCAGAGACAGACGGCTGCCTCAGGCAGCTGATCCTGTGTGTCACGGAAGGGCAGTAAATTGTTAGTTACCCTAGTGACTTGTGTGTTGGGGCAGCACCGCTCTCCTGATACCAGCCTTGCTGCAGCTTGCCTGGGCAGGGGGAGGTCAGGGCTGCCCAGGCACAGCCAGGGCTCTCACTGGTGCACCCCTACAGCCCTGATCTCACTGCTGCCCTGCCCCGTCCCCACCCAGGTCAGCCACAGAGGTTGGGGCCCTCCACATGCTCTTGGACCACAGCTTGCATCAGCCCCTGCCAACATGGCCCATCATCAGGGATCCAGCAAACAGCAACGATAAGTGAGGAGCAGGAGCCAGGATAACTGCAGAGCAGGTAAAACTTTTGTGACAGTCTTCCCACTTGGCTTTGCTACTGCTCCCCTATGAAGGGAGGTGCTGGACCATCCCTGGAAGATGCTGGACCCACAAACCACTGATTCACAACAGCTGGCCTTGACTCCAGACTTCTAGGTGGGGTGGGGAGATTAAAGAGGGTGAAATGTCTGTTTGATGTGAATGATTTTGTATACCGTGTATATATAAGGGTAAAGGGACCCCTGACCATTAGGTCCAGTCATGGCCGACTCTGGGGTTGTGGCACTCCTCTCGCTTTATTGGCCAAGGGAGCCGGCGTACAGCTTCCAGGTCATGTGGCAAACCAGAGCACGGAAACGCCGTTTACCTTCCCGCCGGAGCGGTATCTATTTATCTACTTGCACTTTGACATGCTTTTGAACTGCTAGGTTGGAAGCTGGGACCGAGCAACGGGAGCTCACCCCGTCGCAGGGATTCGAACTGCCGACCTTCTGATCGGCAAGTCCTAGGCTCTGTGGTTTAACTCACAGCGCCACCCGCGTCCCATATATTTTTATAGAGAGAGAGAGAGAGAGAGAGAGAGAGAGAGAGAATACATCACACACACAAAAGAAATCTAGAAGTAAACAAATATCCATCACCTCCTAGCAACTAAAAAGGAAAGAAAAAAGAACAACAAGAACAACAATAATATATTAAATAGTTCTCACAATACATTTAACATAAAAATGACTTTTTTCTATATAACTGATGTGAATGATTTTGGAGGAGGGAGGGGGGGTTGAGGTTTTGTTTGTTTGCTAATTAGTGGTCTGAGTATTGCTTTGCTTATTATTTGACTATTGTTAATGTCATTTGCTATTATTTATATGGCTGGTATGCTACTTTTGTTTTCCATGAATGTTATGTTACATGAAACACTGATGTATTATATGATTCCCTCCTTTCCCCCCCATGATTTTATGCACAGCATATTTTTCTTTGCTGTAAGTCACTTGGAGACCTTCGGGCGACAGGCAACTAATAAGTTTAATAAATATTAATAAAACAGGAAGACTCTGGTGAGTACCACATTGGCTGTCCCTGAGCTACCTGCAGCACCAGAACCAAAAGTGGGCAAAACAATGGGTGTCTCTCACGGCAGAGTCATAGAACTGTTGAGGGTCCCAAGGGTCATCTAATTCAACCCCTTGCAATGCAGGAATCTCAACCCACAGACCCCCATCCAATCTGAAACCGTACTGAACCATTCGTAGCTTTGGAAATGTGGTAGCAGTTTCAATATTGCCCACCACACAAAGTCAGAGGTTTCTAGCCCCACCCCCCACCCCCAATATCTCCATCTTCCATCCCAGTAAGCAGGATCATTGGCAGAAGCAGTAGAGAGGGGCAGGGGGCCAGTGGCATGTGTGGAGAGTGCTGAGGACCAAACAGAGAGACACAGAGATCCACATTTGGCCCTTGGGTCTGAGGTTCCCCCCCGCTACACACACACACCTGCTTTAAAGATACTCAGGTGCACAGACACCCACAGTGGCCGAAACTACAAATAATGGCTCAATCATCACAGCAGCATTGGTGGCACTGCCAGCTCCTCCCATGGGCTGTGGCGTACTATGTTTCAGCCTGTCAGCACAGACAGAATACAGTGGTACCTCGGGTTACAGATGCTTCAGGTTACAGACTCCACTAACCCAGAAATAGTACCTTGGGTTAAGAACTTTGCTTCAGGATGAGAACAGAAATTGCGTGGCAGTGGCACGGTGGCAGCAGGAGGCCCCATTAGCTAAAGTGGTGCTTCTGGTTAAGAACAGTTTCAGGTTAAGAACAGACCTCCAGAATGAATTAAGTACGTAACCAGAGGTACCACTGTACAGTGGTACCTTGGGCAACAGATGCTTCAGGTTACATACGCTTCAGGTTACAGACTCCGCTAACCCAGAAATAGTACCTCGGGTTAAGAACTTTGCTTCAGGATGAAAACAGAAATCGTGTTCCGGCGGCGCGGCACCAGCAGGAGGCCCCATTAGCTAAAGTGGTGCTTCAGGTTAAGAACAGTTTCAGGTTAAGAGCGGACCTCCAGAATGAATTAAGAACTTAACCCGAGGTACCACTGTATGTTTCTTTGGGGTTTGGCATGAGATCACCAAGGCAATCCTTCTTCTCACTGCTCAGCCCCTGGATGATGGTTTATTGCACTCGGCATCCAGCGTGACAACATCTTTAAAATGTTGTCCCACGGGTGCACAATCCTGATGTTCTATCATCTGGACTCGTTTTATTTATTTGTTTACTTGCTTATTTGCCTGCAGAAACTTATCAGCCACACAAGTGATCATGAGTCTGAAACAAGCTGAACATGGTCGAGGGAGGGAGCACTGGTGGAGGAAGAGGCGTGAGGGGGGAGCGCACTGCCCCCGGCAGTGCGAACCTGGCGGGGTGCCATTGCGGCTGGCCCCTACCCTCGCTGGGCGCCACGCCCCCTGGATGCATGCCACACCCCTACGGGCAGCGCGTCACACCCCCAGGATGTGTGCCAGCCCCGCCCCCACTTGCTATCCACCCCCCAGTGCCGGAGCATGAAGCTCCACCACTGGGATGGAGGAGGAATTCAGTTCAGTTCACATTAAAGGCAAACTTCATTAATTTGCACCTCCTGAAACAAGGTGCAACTGAAAAACACTCGTCCTGTAATATTTGCACAACAGCAACAGCAACAGCATCTCTCATTCCTCTTTTCTATGTCCGAGTTCAGATGTTCAGCCAAGCAATGTGTTAAAAAATGCATAATACTAGGGACAAGCGTGCATAGAAATGCATATAATAAAAAACAGATGGAAATGTATTAGATTAGGGAAAAGGGAGTTGCAAAAACATGTATTTGAGGCAGAATTGCATACCAACATTTGTATATAAGGAAAAAATCATGCTAAAGTGCTGGTGAATTTTCACGAGGACTTTAACGAGATAATAATCTGCAAATGTGTGGAATCATATTTAAGACAGGAAACATGAGAAACTGAGTGAAACCGAAATTGTTGGATTCAACCATCTCTAATGTGGCTTCACTGTCATTATCCTCATTATTATATAATAAACAACCACATCAGTTAACCCTTTCTTTCACACCCAAGTCAATGTGCATAGTACTCAAAGCTAGTCAAGCTATTTTGGCACCAGAGGCAGAAAATCCCTTCTCCCTGGCAGTAAAAACACAATGGTAAACATGGTGACCAACCATTTGCTGTCCTTTCATGACCTTCATTCTGCCTAATGGCAGGGCCAGCCGTGCTTCCTTCGGCACTTTGTCTCACGCAAAGTGCTTTACGGTCAGTGTAATTCTCTCTAATCCTTACCAACTCCCTTTGGAGAAAGGCCATTAATATTCCCGTTTGCCTGATGAGCAACTGAGGTTAAGAGAGAGGCACTTACAACAATAAGTTCATGGCTCAACAAGCATAAAAGCCAAATTCGCAGGCACTTTTTAGCCACTTCATAAACATTTGCTCAGCAATCTTCCCTTGCTTTAGTTAATGTGCATTAGAACAGTTCACAAGTTAATCTTTTTCCACTTTCAAATGTCATCACATCTTCTCCAGCTTGTAGAGAAGACATTCCTTCACTAGCCTAGCCTGGATATTGGCCCAGTCTGCCCTGCAAATGGATTTGGGTGTGCTCCTACCATGATGGGGACAGGCTGAGCATGTGAAATCCACCTTTTTGCATTACCCCACGATTTTCTAACAAAACTGACAAGGCTGGAGGAAATGCTGAGAGCCAGTGTGGTGTAGTGGTTAAGAGCGGTAGTCTCATTATCTGGGGAACCGGGTTCGCGTCTCCGCTCCTCCACATGCAGCTGCTGGGTGACCTTGGGCCAGTCACACTTCTTTGAAGTCTCTCAGCCCCACTCACCTCACAGAGTGTTTGTTGTGGGGGAGGAAGGGAAAGGAGAATGTTAGCCGCTTTGAGATTCCTTAAAGGGAGTGAAAGGCG